GCACACAGGCAATGCCAATGGCCCCACACCCAACACCCGGCCCCCGCACACCGGCAATGCCCACGGCCCCACGCCCAACACCCGGCCCCCGCACACAGAAAATGCCCATGGCCCCACGCCCGACACCCGGCCCCGGAACACAGGCAATGCCCACGGCCCCACGCCAGACACCCGGCCCCGGAACGCAGGCAATGCCCACGGCCCCACGCCCGACACCCGGTCCTCGCACACAGACCATGCCCACGGCCCCACGCCCGACGCCTGGACCCTCACACAGGCGATGCCCATGTCCCGTGCCCAACACCCTGCCCTCGCACCTGCACGCAGGCGATACCGATGCCCACGGCCCCGATGATCTGCAGGTGCTCCTGAATGAAGGTCTCCAGCTTGGTGATGCAGCCACCCTGGCGGTGGGGGCAGAGTGCTAAGCATGGCCAACCCCGCCCCTGCGCCAGGCCTCTGCTGCTCTGGGCCGCCCCCAGTGTTCTAGCCCCTCACCCCCAAAGGCTGGACCCCACCAGCCAGCCTACCTCCACCTTGTAGATGTTGGAGGCATGATCCCGCTGGCCGCAGCCGTCAACTACCGTCTTGCAGCAGCTGTCAGGGACCACGCGGCCACCCGCCTCACCCGAGTGGATCCACTCACTGTCCCGCCAATCCTTCGAGTTGTTGCTGCCACAGCAGTGGAACTGCGCCAGGGACACATGGGCTGAGCACACAGACAGAGGCCCCGCAGAAAGGCGTGTGCGTGATCACTCCTGCAGGGGTCCATGAGGCCCACGGGAGCCGTGCACACACGCTCACTTCTCAGGGGCCCACGGGGCCTTCCACACAACACACACGCTCACTTCTCAGGGGCCCATGGGGCCGTGCACACTCAAACGCTCACTTCTCAGGGACCCACAGGAGCCACGGACACACACACACTCCTTGGGAGCCCGTGAGGGTCACACACTCACTCCTTGAGTCCAGGTAATCCCTGCACACGCACGCTCACTCCTCAGGGGCCCACAGGCACACACTCACTCCTTGGGGGTCTAAGGGCCCTTGCACACACACCCTCCCTCAGGGGCCCAGGGGAGCCCACTCCCACCACCCGCCTACCTCCTGCTGCAGCTTGTCCACGGCGCTGGTCACGCCCTGGCGGCCCGGCTGGCGGTACTGCTTCGTCATGGTGTGCTTCAGGTTCTCCTTGAGCTCTGCGTTCAGCTAAAGGGCAGGCGGGAACTAGCCTCAAAGTCTAAGACCCTCCAAGGTACAATGGGGGGCTTGGACAGGAAGGGGAAGGGCTGGGGTAAGACAGAAGCTGGAAGGTTGGGCACTGAGCCCCGTGCCCCCATGAGTCCCAAGGATCCCCTGGGATCCCTGCCCTATGACACCCAGCCCCACCTCCAGGGGCCCAACAGCGTAAAGGTCAGGTCTCGAGTGAAAGGAGGGTCACGCGTGCCTGTGCCTGCGTATGTCACTGTGTGTGTGGCCTGCATGGGTCCACGTGTGCATGCGTGGTTGTGTGTGTCCCTATGAGTACATGTCCCTCCATATGCAGGTCTGTGTCAGCGTGTGCACGCCCCAGCTCTGTCCCTACATGTCTGTGTCCCTGGAGGGGCCCACAGGAATACCACGGGTGAGCTCACACAGGCCTGCCCGCCCCCCCGAGTGTTCCCTGGGCTCCACGTTGTAGGCCAGCAGGAACTAACCAGCCTGTGGGAGGTGAGTGGCCCTGAGTGTGCGTGTCCCTGTGTGCCTGCGTTTATATACCGCCATGTGCGTGTCCCTGCCTGCCTGCGTGTACGTGCCCCGTGTGCGTGTCCCTGCCTGCCTGCGTGTACGTGCCCCGTGTGCGTGTCCCTGCCTGCCTGCGTGTACGTGCCCCGTGTGCGTGTCCCTGCCTGCCTGCGTGTACGTGCCCCGTGTGCGTGTCCCTGCCTGCCTGCGTGTACGTGCAGCCACATGCGTGTCCCTGCGTGCCTGAGCGTCTATGCTGCTGTGTGCGTGTCCCTGCGTGCCTGCGTGTATATGCTGCTGAGTGTGTGCGTGTCCCTGCGTGCCTGCGTGTATATGCTGCTGAGTGTGTGCGTGTCCCTGCATGCCTGCGTGTATGCTGCTGGGTGTTTGCGTGTCCGTGCATGTCCCCACGTGGCCCGGCCCGTCACCTGCTGGTAGTAGACGTAGGCCAGGACACCAGCAATGATCTCCAGCAGGAAGATGATGAGGAGCAGGATGAAGTACTGGGGGGAAGGGAGCCAGTGAGGCTGGGGGCCGGCATGGACGCTCCCTGGGGTGAGGACTCCTAGAGTCCAGGCTCGACAGAGTGGAGCCCCCGCCCCAGCTCTCCAGGCAGCGGGCAGTGGCTGGGTGGCGCCACACTCCCCACTGCTTTCCAAGGAGCCCAGGTTTCCGATGCCCAGTCCTCGGGGGTTTACGGGGACCCACAGGGCTGCGCTGGGCCCACCCAGCTGAGCGGCACCAAGGCCAGTGTGGCGTGCACACGGGTCCTCATCCCCCCATCACTGCCTCTTCCCATCAGGGCCCCAGAGCCCGTCCCCAGCAGCCTGGTGGGGATCCCGTCAGTCCCCCACGCTGTGCCGGCCACGCCCTGCTGACCAGGCGCAGCAGGGTCCGCCGCTCCTTGACGGTGGCGCAGCAGCCCAGGACGCCCGTCACCATGACAACCACACCAGCTACCACCAGGATGTAGGCCGTGGCCAGGTAGGTGTTCGAGGACAGCAGGCTGATGTAGTCACTCTTGAGGGCCAGTGTCCAGATGCCCACTGCCATGACAGCCAGGCCAGCCAGCTGCGGGCGGTAAACACAGCTCACAGGGCGGGGAAGGCCGAGAGGCCAGGCTGAGCCCCCGGGCCAGGGCAGGTCCACTCCTCACCCAGAAGCAGCAGTTGAAGGTGAAGAGCAGGTACTTGAGGCAGATGGTGCCACAGGTCTCGTTTTTATCGTTGAACTCCCCCATCCTGGGGACTGGGAAGGCCTGGGGGGAGCGGGAGGGTCAGACAGCACGTACTAGCCCCTGACTGTGAGGACAGCCGGGCGCCAGCCGGAGCAGGAGGCCACGCAGGCAGTGATGCCCAGGCCAGCGGTGTTGGGGCCCAGCCAACGCCATCCACTGGCCTGGGAAGGAGTATCCGTGGAAACAGGACAAGAGTCACTTCCTGGCGAGGGCGGTGCGGTGCCCCTATCCCCAGCTGCACAGAAGCCCCACTTCCTGGACCAGAGTTCAGGGCAGGGGGGCGTGGAAGACCCCCAGCCCCACCAGTGGACTCACACTGCCTGTCAAGGAGGAAACCCCAGCAGGCCCCAAGGATGAGCTCACCAGGCCCGCCCTCCCCCACAGCATTCCCAGGGCCCCACGTCACAGGACAGCAGGACCCAACGGGCCTGCGGGAGAACAGGAGGCCCGTCACAGACAGCAACCAGCAGGCTGGGGTGGAGACGGCTGGGCCCCTACCAACTTTATGGCCTCTGAGCCTCAGTTTCCTAGGCTGTTAAGGGCAGCCCTCCTTCCCCTTCAGCCAGCCAGGGTGGGGAGAACGGGGAAGAGGATAGGGGCACCTCTGCAGAGCAGAAGGCGATGTGGGCTGTTGCTCCTGGAGCATCTACCTGGGCCCCACACCAGCTCTGTGGTGTCTGCACCAGGGAGGCAGCCCAGACGGCACAGGGGCCCAGGGCCACATTTCCAGACAGGCCCTGCCGGCCACCCAGGCTGAACTTTAACCGCCCCACCCTCCCTGCTGCCCCACCCAGCAATTACCAGGAGGTGCCTCCAGTAAGGAGGAAGCAGATAAGGCCGGTGGACAGGAGCTCCCCTGAAGCAGCACTGGAGGGCAGATCACACATAACAGGACACAAGTCTGACAGGCAGGATCCTTCCACCCCTCCCTAGGCCTGAGGGCAGGATCCTCCCATCCCTCCCTAGGCCCGAGGGCAGGATCCTCCCATCCCTCCCTAGGCCCGAGAGCAGGATCCTTCCATCCTTCCCTAGGCCGATGCAGCCGGCTGGAGCTGGCAGCAGAGTGCACTCCCCCGGGACAGGCTGGGGCCCAGGACAGGCCCTCCCCACCAAGCCCCACCCATGCTGGCCAGAGACAGCAGGGCAGACAAGCCGGGTATTTTGGTCTGGGCCAGGACAGGGCGGGGCAGAGGACATTTCTGGACAGTCCAATCCTGGGAGAGACCTCATGCCTCCTCCGTCCACCCCACCCTAGGCCTTAGCTCCAGACCTGTCAGTGTCCTCCCCCACAGACAGCAGCAGCCGCAGCCTGGGAAGAAAAAGGGCTTGGATGCCACCGCTGAGCTAGGGGGGCACAGACACCCACCACCGAGCCGGGGGGGGCACAGACCCCCCACCACCGAGCCAGGGGGGCACAGACACCCACCACAGAGCTGCATGGTGCACACACCCCACCACCGAGCTGGGAGGGCACAGACCCCCACCACCAAGCCAGGGGAGCTCAGACCCCCACCACCAAGTTGTGGGGCACACACACCCCACTACTGAGCTGGGGGGCACAGACCCCCACCACCGAGCTGTGGGGGCACACATACCCCATCACAGAGCTGCGGGGGCACAGACTCCCACCACCAAGCTGGGGGAGGGGCACAGACTTCCACCACCGAGCTGTGGGGGCACACATACCCCACCACAGAGCTGGGGGGCACAGACCCCCACCACCGAGCTAAGGGGACACACACACCCCACCACCGAGCTGGGGGTGAAAACAGAGGCCCCACCATTCAGCTGGGGGGACGCCTAAACCCCACTCATTTGCGGATGCACCCCTGGGCTGGCACTGAGGTCTCAGGCCTTCTGGGGAGGCTGGTTCAGGGCACTGCCAGCGACCTGCTAAGGGGCGGCCCTTCCTCCAGAGAACGCCTGGCACACGTGAATCCCCTGGGAAGGCGAGGGTGGGCCCACCAGAAATACTGCTGCGGCCAGAACAGCGCAGTTCCACCCCCAGGCCTGACCCGTCTAACTGGGCCCTTGGGCCATAGGCGCCCAAGCAGGGGACCCCTGAGCTCTCCAGCCAGGCCAGGCAAGGAAGCCACGCGTCAGCAGGATGAAGTCACCGCCGCCACCGCCTCCACCGGGCGCGGCCAATGGCCTACCCACTAGCACTGGGTGGTGGGCGGGCCTCCCGCCCGAGGGAGGGGACCGGTGTCAGGGGACAATGAGGGGCGCTCGGACCGCGCATTCCGAGGGTCTGTCGGAGCGGGGCCGCCAGGCCTGCCCGAGAACCCAGGCGGCGCCCACCTCGCCCCGCCCGCCCGCCCGCCC